GGATGCATTTCATCAGGCCCTGGTGACTTGCAGGCATCTAACTTTTCTAGGTGATTTTTAACTTGTTCTTTTTTATTTTACCTTCTAAAATTACCCCCTTTCCACTAGCATTCACTATGTTAGGCATTCCTACAGACTTCTCGGTAAAGACCGAAACAAATAAGTCATTAAACATCTCTGCCATTTCCAAGTTTCCTGTTACTGTTTCTCCCTCTTCACTGAGCAGTGGGCCTACCCTCTCCTTGGTCTTCCTCTTGCTTCTAATGTATTTATAAAAAGTCTTCTGTTTCCCTTTATTCCGGTAGCTAGTTTGAGCTCATTCTGTGCCTTTGGCTTTCTAATCTTGCCCCTGCATTCCTATGCTGTTTGCCTATATTCCTCCTTTGTAATTTGTCCTACTTTCCATTTTTTATATGACTTTTTTTAGTTTTAGATCATTCAAGATCTCGTGGTTAAGCCAAGACGGTCTTTTGCCATATTTTCTATCTTTGACACATCGGAATAGTTTGCTTTTGGGCCCTTAATGTCCCTTTGAAAAACTGCCAACTCTCCTCAGTTGTTTTTCCTCTCAGTCTTGATTCTCATGGGACCTTACCTATCAGCTCTCTGAGCTTACCAAATCTGCCTTCCTGAAATCCATTGTCTCTATTTTGCTGTTCTCCCTTCTATCCTTCCTTAGAATTGTGAACTCTGATTTCATGATCACTTTCACCCAACCTGCCTTCCACTTTCAATCAACCAGTTCCTCCCTATTTGTTAGGATCAAATCGAGAACAGCTTTCTCCTCTGGTAGCTTTTTCAACCTTCTGAAATAAAAAGTTGTCTCCAATGCAGTCCAAGAACTTATTGGATAGTCTGTGCCCCGCAGTGTTATTTTCCCAACATATCTGGATAGTTGAAGTCCCCCCATCACCACCAAATCTTGGGCTTTGGATGATTTTATTAGTTGTTTAAAAAAGCCTCATCCACTTCTACCTGGGTAGGTGGCCTGTAGTAGACTCCTAGCATGACATCACCTTTGTTTTTAACCCCTTTTAGCCTAACCCTCAGAAGGAATGCCTTCCTCATTTTCTATTGAGTCCATTAAGCATTAGTGTAAGTCAACATCATTCATAATAGGAAAGTCTGTATTTAGGTCATGGTTAAAAGCAGGGAGGGTTTATAAGGTGGAAAATTTGAGGGGGAGGAGCAGTATTCTTGGAGTGCATTTATTTCTCAAGAGGAGACTGGCAAGAAAACAATTAAACACACTGTGTGTTCTTAAGAATAGTCAAAGGTGGAAGGTTCCCCGGGGATTGGTCTGATTCACACCAATCTAAAATTTCAGAATGGGTTCTCAACTTTGAAACAAGACTGAAGGTACTTGTGAGAGTTCTGTGACATGCACACAGTCAATGTGAAATGCTGTTGGACGATCTCCAGTAGCAAAAGCTTCAAAGGCTAAAAAAAGTGCAAAGAAAAAAGCAGGTCACAGAAAAGGATGAGTTTCCATAAAAATCCAAAAATCAACACTAGGTGTCACATTTGTTTACACAGAAACTGCTGGACCTGTCTGAGCTGCTTCTTGGATATAGCTCTCATGAGACCAAATGCAGACTGAAATATATTAACCCAAATAAAATTCCAACACAAATAGTTATTCAGGACCAACATGGTCCTTGAAAAAAAAATCACCAGCACATATGACATACTGAAATGAGAAAGGGCCTTCCTCTAAGTGCTCAAGAAGATAAAGCAACCAGTATAATATCATGAAATGATTTACAATACAGTTAGTGATGAAGAGTAAGGATTTTTAGGAAGCACAAGAGAACATAACTGGGGAAGAGCATTCACATTTAGTTAAATTTAAGGCAAGCTTTCACCTTACATTTGAGAATCTCAATTCTCTAGCTTGCTTACACAGTAGACAAAACAATCCCAAATCCCAATAGTTGCTTATTTATTGCTTTAATATCAAAAGAGAAAAGCTTCAAAATAAACACGGTGTTGATTAAATTTAAAGTTCACTGTCCTTCATATCTCTGACTAAGCCATGTCAGATAAAGCGGATTGGTGAAGTTATTGGTCTTAAGATTCAAAATGGAGCTGGATTGGGGGGGGGGGCTGGTTACGGCCAACATTCAAAGTAATAGCAGTTTCACAACTATGCTAAGTCTGAGGCAGTTACAACTCGGGTTATCTGCAACAACTGAATACCACTCTTAAACAGAATGCTTACAAGAAAAGTCTAGGTTTAGTTTAACTACTAAGCCTAAGTTAACAGCTAGAATATGGCTTAATTGCTACTGAAGACATGTAATGCATTCAACATTTGTTTAAGTTTCATATCTAAAACCATGTCTGTTACACACCTGAAGAGAAAACCACCACTAAAAAGTACCTTACCTCATAAATGTTGGGGTGCCACATTTTGGTCAGGAATCTGAAGGTAGGTGGTGAATATGGATAGTCGATAGGAAATTTAATGTGAGCCTGAAACAAATAAAGTTAATCTCAGTTTTCATGTAACAAAAACGCACAAGCGACAAGTAAATTAACCCATATTAGTCTTTCACAGTAGAAGGTTTGGCACCAAAAGTGATTTCAGCTTTAAAGGAAACAAAGCTGTCCATTGAACCACTAACAAAAATCATCATTTAGCTACCACACCAAAGCATACATAGTTAGCGCTATTGAGTTTTGTGAGCAGACTAGTATTTGAACAGGAGAATTTGAAGATCAAGACAGATTCATTGGACTGGTAAACTCTGAAATAGTTGCTTGCTAGTTTTCCCGTCTCAACTTTACGTAGCTCTAATAAGAGTCAAAGTTCTGAAAAGTCTTAACTGTTTTTTTTTTTTTTTTTTTAAACAGGCTTTGTTAAAAATCTCCTAAATTCAGTGGCCAATATGATCAGTTTCCTTGGGGTTCTTTTAGGTCTGAAAAATTGGTAAAGTTTTTTGACCCCAGTAAGAAAATTTTTGTAGTGTTCAAGGCACATTAAAGGGGCTAATAGGATCACTGCATAAAACGATAACTGAAGAACATTTATATCAATAGCTGTGCACTAAACAAATACTTCAATTTGATTAGGAACAAGGAATATTTATTTGCAGTTTTGAGCGACTTGGTTGATGGAGGAAGCAGAAAATCTACTTCAGGCAAACTAACATGTCTACCAAGCTGAATATACTACATTTGTTGCCATGATAACCAGAGTACTTCAAGTTCAGATATTAGAGGGCTTGTGTGTTTTGCAGGCTTGTGTAATCCTGTGAAACCAAAATCTTGATAAGAGAAATGTATTGCACTAATGGTGGATGACAACGCCCATAACTTTAGATGGACATCTTTTTAAATAAAATGAAGACAACAAGTAGACCTAGAGTTCTCAAACTGGAGGTTCATGAGGCTATTATGCGGGGAGTTGCAAACTGACCACCCCAAATACCATTTTGCCTCCAGGATTTATAATAGTGTTAAATATTTTAAAAGTGCTTTCAATTTATAAGGCAGGGTCACACTCATAGGCTTCTCCTGCTAACATCCTAACATGCTGCTGGGGAGGTTCAAGACAACTGCAGCCTAAACTTTGTTTTTGTGCCTTCAACTTGGAATCTTATTTGCATTTAAACACAGGGAATTTAAAAAATTGAATACCGTTTAGACAGTTCTATTTAACTTTGACAGGCACTTTCCTACTGCTGTATTGTATTCTATTCCACTCAGATTACACAGATCGAAAGACAGATCCCAAATCCACACCCCAGCCAGAGCCCCTACCCCGTACCCCATTTCGTGAGCATTCATGGTCCTCAATACAATTTCTATAGCCTGATGTGCCCCTCAGTTTCTGGGTTGCCAGCAAATTTGTAAGGTAAACTGGAGGGGTATTCAATAATCATTGAACTGCTTGTTAAGACACAAACTTTGTAGAATTGAACAAATTTAATGCATCAAGAATACAAAACCAAACCTTATGCACTCAACAGTGCCACAACACCAGGTTAAGAGTATAGATTAGGGAACCTCTTTTTGACGTACATGCAAGCAATTGATAGATTTAGTTTATGTTGTAACCAGTCATGTCTTTACAAAAGATCTGAAGGCTATAGAATTTGGAAACAAGCAATTACTTGCTGCTCTGTTACTGAGTTCATAGAAGTGCTCTAGTGTAGCAACCCAGATACAAAAAGTGGCTTTTCCCGTGTATAGTGTTTTAGCACCAGGAGTTCACTGTGCCAGTTATTTGAGCTGTAATCAGAAGGATTAAGTGCTCTGGGGAAACCCAAATGATCTAAGAAAGGGGGAATTTTACAATCAGGTTTACCTCTCCTCCTGATCATTAGCTTGAAAAGTGAAACTGAACTCTTATCCAGGACAGTCACTAAAGTTTTCACAGCCAGGTTCCCAAGTATGAGTCAGCATTTTACTTTCCTAATTGAAGCAATAAGTTTAAAGCAGCCATTTGATTATTATTAAAATATTTCATTTGAATGGGTGAAGGAAGCCAAGCGTCTCAGGGATTAAACTGCCAGATGGCTGGTGAAGACACTCATTCATCGCCATAGATGGGAATCCAGCACTGACTATTATTTAATCCAGGAAATATTTAGTGTCAGAAGACCATGGGCTACATTAAATTCATGCAAACACAACCAGGAGTCCTGTGGCAGCTAATAAATCTGCTGGTCTCTAAGCTGCCGGAGGACTCCTGGTTGTTTTTGCAGATACAGGCTAACAAGGCTAACCCTCAGATATTAAATTCACATTTGAGTGGCAGTTTGTCACCTGACAAACAAGTTTACACAACCCCACTGACCTTCAAAGAATGCAGGGTATTTGGATATTTTATGTGAAACCCTGAATTTTGATAAAACAGGTTCTACTTCATATATTGTCAGAGTAGCACAAGCCTGAAGCTGCATGCCTTTGGTCAAATTAGACCTGTCCGATGGACTTCATTTTTTTAAAAAGAGTACCCAGAAAGCCTCAAAACACAAATTAGTAAAAACCATTAAGTCTGACACCCAATATTTCTCCCTTACATTAACTATAGATAAGTGACCAGAGTAAATCTTAACTTCACAGATTTGACCACTTAAAATAAGGATAATATTGATTTTTGTCAATTCAGAGGCATGTGGTAGTTAGGAAGTATTGAAGTAAATTAAACATCACTATATATATATGATATGATAAAAAGTGGGTTGGCTGCAGGTTCCCTCCCATGCAATTATTTGATGCTATGTAAGGACTGTACAGTCTTCTCTTCAACTAGACTGCTGCCACATCACAGTATGTAATTTAAACACATTTGTAGAAAACACATGGCTATTTTAGTGACTGCTTCCTGTTTATTGCCCTACATGTCCGAAATGCTGTCAGTGTTCCATATTTAGAGTACATTATTTGGCTTTGCCTGCATTTTACGGATACTCAATACCTCCATATTTAAATTGACTCAAACAAAGCACATGCACGTAGGGAAGCTTTCCAAGGGAAATCGCAGAAGCAGCTTTTAGCTAAGTTAGTTATTTGAGCATCATATTGCATGTGTTTTTAAAAGTGTTTAAACTAAAAGTTTCCAATCAGTTCTCAAAGGCATTCAAAGAGCCAATCAATATGCATAGGCTGTGGAAATTGCCATTTTTCATTTCTAGAATGTCTCCATCCAAAAATATTTACATATCACTGTTCCCTCTATGAACAGCACTAACATTAACATTAATGAACATTATGAACATTAATAGTTCAGGGGTTCTCAAACTTGTGATACCACGACGCCCCTCGAGTTGCTCGCAAACCTCTCCCTCCCCCCGGGGGGTCAGGACCCACAGTCTGAGTTGCTTGCAAACCTCCCCCTCCCCCCGGGGGGTCAGGACCCACAGTCTGAGAAATACTGCAATAGTTAAATTTTTTTGGGGGGGAGGGTGCATATTTCATGCAAAAACAAGCATTCAGAAAACCACCGAGCTGATTTTCAGACCTGTGGAGGAACAGCAGTTTCCATAATCAATAGAAGCAGCAGAAGTTACATTACCCATAATAAAAGACAGGACTATGCAGCACTTTAAAGATTTGACACTTTGTAATGTGTGAGATAATTAGCATCTTTGTTAAGGCCCATTCATAAAGATAGCTTCCAATTATCACCCATAATAAAATTCTCCGACACAAACCTCTCACCCTCACTCCCTCTGTTATAAAATTGACAAATCAGATTTTAGATGTGTTCACTTTTTTTGATTGTATCCCTTTAGTATATATGGTTATGCCAATTTTCTTCCACAATTTGATCTGAGGAAGTGGGTCTGGCCCACGAAAGCTCATCACCTAATAAACCATCCTGTTAGTCTTTAAAGTGCTGCATAGTCCTGTCTTTTGTTTCAGCAAGACCAGACTAACACGGCTACATCTCTATTACTACCCATAATAAAGTGTTAAATAGTGGTCATCTAGGTACTGTGTGATATCCTGCAGAGGCTAAAAGCTCTGGATACAGCAAGAAGGAGTCTTCACTTGTACTCTACCACAAAAGCATAACTGGTAAGAATTGTATGCCTCTTGTAGAGGCGGTTTTCTTTCTCCAGAAAACACTTTGGAGTTTCACTGCAAAATGTCACTGGTAAGTGTACAAACTCCCACGTTTTTTTTCCCTCCACAAAAAAAGTGACTTTTCCCACTTTAATCAGCAACTGCAGACATGCCCTTAGTTTCCATCTATGTCAACTGCTCTGCAGTAGAAATATCAGTAAAAGCCTTTTTACAAACAAATCTTACTACACAAACCAGTATTTCCATTTTACATAAGTGCAAGAGAAAGCATAATACGCTCAAGCATGTTAGCTTGTGTTATGCATCTCATATAGAATATTCTATAAGAGCTACTATTTTAACAGATTTCTCTTTAGTTCAATGACTCAAACTTTCCAGACTTTGAACACCCTCAAGTTTTATCTCAAACTACCTGCTGATAAAATCAGATAATAAACAAAAAAGTGTCACTGCACACTATTGCTGAAAAATTGCTCAATTTCTGATTTACCATGTTGTGAAAAATCAATCTGCTGGAAATGTAAATACAATGTTTATATTTCATTTCCTGACTTCATTAGTGCTTTTTATTAAACCTGTGGCAAAGTTAGGCAAATATCTAAATGAACCGGTGTACCATATGGAACAATTCTGCATAACCCCAAGGGTATAGATACCCTGGTTCAGAACTACTGTTTTTAGTTTACCAAAGCACAGAAGCATGGACAGCTGGTGTCCTCCATCCTACAGGCGAGGATGGGCACTAGGAGAGATGACACTTCATTCCTTCCTCTCACTTAGGCCAGGTCTACACTGGCAGAGAAATCAATGCACCATTAATTCAACATACCTTGCAACAGTTTTCTGGGGCGGCCCCACAGCAGGACGTTAACAGGAGAAACACTCCCATCAAATTCCCATTCTATTCTTGAGAGCAAGGAGTTTCAATGCAGACC